CAGGAGCAGATCCAGACTACATTACTACACAGGTATCCTGACCTTTGACCCCTCACATGACGCTCCGGCTGGCCCTTTTATCTGCCCTGCTGTGTCTCATGTTACTTCAGGCGCTGATAAATATAGATGTGATGGTTTTTTTCACAGAGGGACCGGAGCTCAGCGGGCGGCGAGCAGGAGGCTCAGAGCGCCACGGTGAGTCCGACGTGTTTCTGCGTCCGCACGCCGTCCTCGTCTCTCACGCCTCGTCTCTCATGTCTCTGTCCTCCTCCCAAGATCGCAGACACTCTGTCACCCGCAGCTGCCACCACCGCCGAGGAAGCCATGTCCGTGTCCCACGACACCCCCGCTGCGTCGTCGAGGAGACCAGCGTTGCCTGGAGACCTGGGAGCGTCGGGGGGAGCCGCGCCGTTGGGGGCGACGTGGCGGCGGCAGGAGCTGAGGGCGGCAGCGAGGAGGCGGAGACCTGGGCGCCGTCCCTCCGGTAGGATCAGTCCTCTTCATCACTCTTCCTCTCCTTTGTGGTCCAATGCTGCTGTTCCTCCGTCTGAATCAGAACCTGGTACTGTTAGTTCTGTTGAATCCCACTGAGAATCCGATGATCATTTATCTGTTTATGAAGCTGTTCAGTAACACCTAAACTCAACGCTCAGTGAGAAAAAGTCCAAATGATTCACTGGATGTTTCATTTGTTGACTGAAAAATAAAACTTGCTAGAACTCAGGAACTGGTTTCCCAGTCAGAGCCGACTGAAGGCAGTAATGACGTCTTGCAGGAGTGGGTTCCCATCATCCGCTGCGACATGATGACTCAGAGGAAGATGAAGGCTCAGCCGCCGTTATCCGACGCCTACCTGCACGGGATGCCGGCCAAACGCAGGAAGGTACTGGGACCGGCCGGAGCCGTCGGCCGCCGTGTGTCGGTTCTCCTTAAAGCACGCTGTGTGTTTGTGTGCAGACGGGCCAGGGCGGCGGCAGCCTGCTCTCCCTGTCCGACGCGGTGGGCCAGGCGGCCAGGAGCGCCGGCGTCCGGCCCATCAGCTCCCCGGAGCAGCTGCAGGCGGACCTGGAGGCGCAGGAAGTGAAGGAGGCTTACTCAGAGCAGGTCAGGACGGACTCAACAGGAAGTGAAAGAACTTCTTCGCTGTTTGCTTCTCCTCAGCAGAGTCTGTAGGGAAGTCCTGGGAATTTTAAATCAGTTCAAAATGCACAAAAATATTTTGTCAGCTTAAACTTTTATAAAATCATATTTTCAATAATTCTTTGATATTGTTTTACTTAAGAAAAGCCAATCAGCCAATAGCTCAGCAACCTTAGAACGCCTTGAATATCAGAGCATCGTCAGCCATCATCCTGCCGCGTGTGTGTTCAGTCCACTGTGTGTGTGTGTGTGTGTGTGTGTGTGTGTGTGTGTGTGTGTGTGTGTGTGTGTGTAGAGCGAGCTGCTTGGACGCTCCAGTATAAAATCAGGGATATTCAGCATGTGGGTCGGTTTTGGCCCGACATCGCAGTGTGTGTTGTTGTTCCCTGTTGACCAATGAGAGCACAGCCTGCTAAAGCGACAACCAATCAGAAAACGCGGTGATGTAAACATGGAGGGGAATCCCAAAAACAGCTGACATGGCAACCAAAAGTCCGCTGCAGATCAGATTGTTTAGTTGATATGTGGCAACAATGTTTGTTCAGCATTTCATGTGAGGAGGATCAGAACCGAGACAAACAGGAGTTGGACTGAAATGAATGTCGCCGGTGATCCACAGCCTGACACGACTCTAACCACATGACTGCAAACATGACATCAAAACAGCAAAAACGTTAAATTAACCGGTGAAGCTAAATAAACAGAAACATCTAAACAATGTAAGCAAAGTGAATAAAAACCCAGAACTGCTCCGTATGGTACAGAGCCACTCCTCACCGCCTCCTCCTCCACCCAACACCTTTTCCTTTTGCTACGTCTTTCATGGCTGAGGACTCAGACTGTCGCCATTACCTCTAAATTGTCAGCCATGTTTGTTTACTCTAAATTCACGTGTGGTTTGGTGGATTTTGGGGGATTTTCTGTCTGCAGTCTGAATGTTGGGGAGTGGATTGTGTGTTGCTCCTTATGAACAAAATCTGACTCAAGTCAAATGGTTTGACTCTGAACATGTTGCCTCTGAGCTGCTGAGCGTCGTGATGTTTTTCTCTCCCCCTCAGGTGAAAGCAGACGTGAAGAAGCGGGTCAGAGAAGACCCAGACTTCAACTCGCAGCAGTTCCCCAACGCACACAGAGCTTTCTCTCCTGATTCCTAACCGCCTCCCTGCAGCATTAAAGCCCTTCTTTTGCATTTCCTTTTGGTTTCTGTGGATCAACCAGCAGCTGTCGCTTTACCCCCAGAGAGCTGCTGGACTCCAGGAGGAGCCGGGTTCTGATGGGTCTGCTTTCCGGCCAACAGAGAGGCAGACGGCGCCGTTAACATCCGCTTTCAACAAACTCGACTCAGGAATCATGATCAACTGGTTTCTGTCACGTTGCACATCCGTGTGCAGAAGTTGCAGCGTTTTTCTTCTCTGTTGGTCCGAAAGCACGAGAGGCAAATTCCAGTATTTATTTCAGGAAATCTGTTGGGAAGTTTCAGGATAAAACGGATCGGCTCCAGCTGCTGTAGATCCAGAGTTCTTTACGCTTTTAGTCGGTTTAGAGCCGTAGAACTACTGATTATAACAAACTCAGTGGGAAGCAGGAAGAACAACAGCAAACCAGAAACTTGTAAAGCTACACTTTAGTGCCCTCTTGTGGTGAAACAGTACATTGCATAATTTGACAGCAAATTATTTGATAAGAAATGTTGAATAAATGATTTTCTGAATTTCCTGAACATGAATGAAACAATGAATTTATGCCAGTTCCTGGTGGTTTTTATTTTTGTATTATTTCAACAACAAGATGAAAAAATCTTCAGTTTCTTTGAAGGAATAAAACTAAATCAACTCAGTTCAGTCCAGGATGGAGTTTGTGCAGAACGTCGACTAAAGAATGTAACTAACGGAGTTATTTTTTCAATCCTCCACTAATCAACTAGAAACATTCTGAGAATCCTCTAACATAACTACCAACTTCTTCTATTTATTGCTTCGTGCTCCAACTCTAGCAGAGAAATCGGCCTCCATTAAACACACGTTGACACACTTCTTATTCCTCTGTTTGGATCCTTGAGCTGCTGTTGCTTTTAGGGACCCGAATCATCAGCGTATATCTGATTAGTTTTTTCTTAACATCTTCAAACACGATGACTTTAATGTGATGCTGTTTGGTACATGAATGTACAGAAAACCGAATAAAATCCTTCATTTAAATAGACCACTGTGTTTTCTTCTTTATATTTAGAACTTAGTTTATGATTCTATTAATGCTGTTGGGGAGAAACATTAAGTCAAGATGTGTCACTGATCCTTTAAATTATTCAGACTTATTTATATTTTATTTTAAAAAAACTTACATTTTGTCAACTTTAGAAAACTCGTCCGATTTTAAGATTTTAAAAAACAGCCCCACATTTTTATTTTTTACAAGTTTTAAATTTATATTAGAAAACTTGTCACTAAATGTGGCAAAAACTCTAAAACAAAATAGAGATAAAAAATATATGTAATTTATGTAAAATAAGGGATTATTAGGAAATATTTCAGAGGTGAACATTTGGTGTAAGTTTGCTTTTGCATGTTTAGTTTTATGAGGAAACGCAGCAGCTGATCCGAGTCCGGCTTGGTGAACCGGTTGGACCGCCCAGGAGTCAACATCCTGCTCGGCTGCAGGAATGCGACCCGACCCGACCCAGTGTCATAAAACCAGACATGATGAGCTTCTTGGAGTGAAACATTTGATGCCTCAAGAAAAAAATATAAATGCTACTGTAGGTTTGCAACAGTACATTCATTAAAAGCAGTACAACTTTAATTATTAATTATTAGTTACTCTTAGGAGCCTTTTTTTCATATTCTGGATATAAAACTTAACTTCATTTTAAAATCCATTCAAGCATGGCTTCCTGTCAGAGCATTTGGAACAATGAAAACCATATTTAGACACTAATAAAGGTTTAATGAGAAACTCGGACTTGTTAAGCATCCATTCACTGGTGAGGCCAAATAAGACGTTTCCATAAAAACATAAATTTTGCTTCTATATTGCGGATAAAGTCACACAGATTCTGCCAAAAAGCATCAAGAAGAGGAAGGAGACAGCAGCTGAACAGGTTTTGTGGGGATGGACAGAAAAAGTACAAACTCCTGAAGAGAAGCTCCACAAACCTCAGAGAACTCAGCATGTTGGATGTCATGTGACGACGCGTCCGGCCCGCCCATCCATCCGGCCCGCCCATCCATCCGGCCCGCCCATCCATCCGGCCCGTCCATCCATCCGGCCCGTCCATCCGGCCCGTCCGGCTGTTTGCAGAAGGAGTGTTTAAAGTTTACACTTCCTGGTAGAACCAGTTGAAGCTGATCTCAGATCAGATCCCTGGAAAACTGCAGTCCAGCTCGAGGCCCGGCGAGACCGAATGGAGCAAACAGAACCAGAGCGGGGTCTCGGCCTCCATGGTGATTTCTGAAAGGTGGAGCTGAATGCTGCTGCTTCAGCCCTTTATGCAAGAGAATCAGACTTTGAGAAATATTCAAGTTACGCTTGTCAAAAATAATATTTTATCCACTGACATTGGGGGACGAGAGGAAAGCAGTTTATCGGTTCTGGATTTTCATCACCCAATGATCACAATCCCCAGTTTGGGATCCAAAAATATTTGCTTTGGTTTTATTTTATTAAAAGTTCACTTACCAGAAATCTGAGCTCATTTGTTTCATTTCTCCGTTTGAGAGGCGAAAATGTCATCAAATCAAATTAAACTGGAAAAAAGACCAACATAAATATTTAATCAAATACAATTTACCCCAATTAACGACAACAGAGGCAAACTGAGAACCTTCAGCAGCCTTAAAGCTTCCAGAAGTAAAGAAACAAACTCATCTTTATTCTTCATTTATTCCTTCAGTTTTAAACAACAAATCACTTTAAAAACCTGCAGAGAAAATTGATTTCACTGCTTTGAAAGGAATTCATTTTCTTTTCAACTCAAAGGGTCGGTGTGCATCGAACTTCATTTCCACTTTAAAGTCCAACAGAAAAACAACGACGAGCTTCAACAGAGACTGATGGTGACAGAAGAGCAGAGACGCCGCACACAGCGGTCAGACGGACGCAACAGACGCTGCAGTGAATCAAATTAAAGGCACATTCAGACAAACATTTCCACAGACAGAGCCACAGGAATCGCAGCAGTGCATGTTGGGGTCACTGGGGTCAGAGCGGCTACAGAAAGGCTCCGGGGTTCGATCGAGGGTCCTTCAGGTTCCTGTACTTATGGGTCAACCACACGCCAAGAATCTGGAACAAACAGGAAGAGATTTTAAATGTCCGTGAGCTTCACCCCGACTGGAGGCATCGAGCCTGCGGGCGCATCGATCGGCCGACAGACTGACTGACCTCGGTGAAGCTGAAGAAGAGGCCGATGCCGCCCACGAAGCGCAGCACCTCGCCGGCGTACTGCTGCAGGATCAGTGAGCAGCTGCTGCAGGACTCCGGGGTGGCGAAGCATCGCTGAACGGCGGCAGGACAGAGTCAGAGAAAACGCATGGCGTTCCAGCAGGCAGGAGGAAGGAGAAAGAGGTTGGACTCACAGCGGGGCAGGAGCTGCTTTGGTTAACGGAAGAGAAGCCGCAGCAGTCCAGAGTTCTCTCCACGTCTTCCCGGGTCGCCTCGGACTTGTTCCAGCCCACCTCCAGCAGCTGGTTCTGGAAATTCACACAGACGGACATGAATAATCATATCAATCAATCTTATTCTGAAGATTAAATCACATAAAACCAAACTGGTACATTCTGCAGGTTTGTCATTTTGCCATTTTTATACATTAATAAATAAACAACAATAACTGTTTTTAAAAGAAGAAAAATATCTTGTCTGAAATGCAGCAGCAGCATTTGTTTAGTGATCATTGGATCATTTGTAGCAAAGGATTCAAAAATACCAGCAACATGTGAACCTCAGACGTTTCTGCTTCATTAATTCAATAGCAAAAGTAATTAAATCATCAATTAATCAGATTAGTTTGTACCAACGAGAACAAACTTCAGCTATTTGTAAAACCACATGTGTAAAAACTTAAAATAATCTAAAAATCATCATCTTCCAACTAAATGTTGGAATAATTGAGTTCAGCAGACGTGGACCAACCTGCTGCTCCGAGTTGAGAGCCAGGCAGGCGCAGGAGATGGAGAACTGCAACACAAACACTACAAACAGGATCATCATGTACTGGTGGAGGTTGAGGAACTCTGACATCCTGAACGGTGATGAGATGAACCGTGGACCGGAACCGTCTTAAAGGATACGAAGAAGCAGAACCTGCTGGTGCTTCAAGGCGCCGCAAAGCCCCACGAAGGCCACCAGCAGCAGGAAGACGCCCACTCCGATGACGGCCGCCACCACGCTGATGCTGGAGACCAGGCCGAACCATTTCCCCCAGGCAGCCACCCCGACCATCAGCAGACTCACCATCTGAGGGCAGCAGGAGGCCAGAAATCAGGCACAAAGCCAGCATGCGCAGAAAAATGCCATGTTTCATACACAAGTAGTGAAAGTTTGCGTGGTGCATCTTCCTGCGGTTAAAGCGCAAAGCGGCAAACCTCAAAGAAATACCAAAATGTGACTTCAGGCTTTGACTGAAGGACTTGATGTTTTTCAGTTATGTTATTGTTAAATGACGAAACTGAGACACATTTATCCTCATACAGGTGACACCTGTTATATACAGAAGAAACAAAATGACTAAAAAACCTACTTACATACAAAAGTCAAATGTAAATGGTTTGTTTGTGACGCATGCTGTTTGTGGGTCACTTTGTTCTGACAAATGATCAGCAGATCAACTCCGAATCGGACAGGATGCTGATTCTTCAGGTGGAGCTGCTCCAGGTGTGACGTAAATGTTGCTGGTCACTTAACTTTAATTTGTTCGGCTCTTAAATTAAATGTTTGTATGCAGTGAAACTACTGATGAATAAGCAAACTTTTTAACGCAGATTGTTTTTTGTGGTTTCGCTTCTCAGTTGAACAACCGTGACATCTGCTGCTCTCTGCAAAACTCTTGACATTTTAAATTTATTTAACTGTATAAATATTTATTCAAATATAAGACTATTAGTGGCATATTAAGAAAACTTTGGTGCAGTTTCTTTCATTCTGACGCTCCACTAAATGTGAAGACAAAAGTTGCATTTTGCCAAAGTTCATCCTGAACATAAACACTGAGATGAGATGCTGACACAAAAAGCACAAGAAGTTTTCCTGGCAAACTTAAACATAATCTGCTTTTTCCTTTTGCTTTTAGATGCTTTCTTCACTGAGCCAACTAACATTTGGACATAATCTGCATCTCCTAAATGACCATTTTTCAAACTGCACATCCTAACAAACCTGCCCTGCAAGATGGAGCTGTAAAAAATAAAAAAGCATGACTTCAGTCAACATGTGGCCAGTTGATGCATTTTAACCTGCTGGTGTTGAGCTGAATGTCACTTTATAACCCTGTCCAAAAACACAACAGGTGGAAAGGTAGACAAACCAAGGGTGACTTTGGTGGCAAACTGGCCTTCTGTAGCTTGTAAGAGTTTCCTGTGGAAAAGGAAACCCGATAAGGAGGAAGGAACAGGCCTGGTCAGAGGCTGCATACACACAGCAAGCAGATGCAACCCAAAGCCGCTTTTCCCTCCTGCGACCTGCAGCTGGCCTTTTCACAGCCACAGGTCCAAACGGCTCGGTTCAATCCTTTTGCCTTCCCAAAAACACCCACTCTGTGCCACTGAGGCTCTGCTCACCCTGGAGCCTGAAGTGGTTTTTGCCCCCATGTGACCTGCATCTGAACTTTTCACTGTGAACACAGATCAGATTTTCACAAATGCAACTCAGGTCACCTGAATATGTGGTACCAAATCCAATAAGTATCCAATCTTTACAAATGAGTTGGATTCATCCGACCTGCAGGTCACTGGCCAACCTGGAGTCACACACAGCTGCTGCAGTGAAACACCTGCTGCAGTGAAACGGCTGCTGCAGTGAAACACCTGCTGCAGTGAAACAGGCTGCTGCAGTAAAACAGGCTGCTGCAGTGAAACAGGCTGCTGCAGTGAAACACCTGCTGCAGTCAAACACCTGCTGCAGTCAAACACCTGCTGCAGTCAAACACCTGCTGCAGTCAAACACCTGCTGCAGTCAAACACCTGCTGCAGTCAAACACCTGCTGCAGTGAAACGGCTGCTGCAGTCAAACACCTGCTGCAGTCAAACACCTGCTGCAGTGAAACAGGCTGCTGCAGTAAAACAGCTGCTGCGGTGAAACAGCTGCTGCAGTGAAACACCTGCTGCAGTGAAACAGCTGCTGCAGTGAAACAGGCTGCTGCAGTGAAACACCTGCTGCAGTCAAACAGCTGCTGCGGTGAAACAGCTGCTGCAGTGAAACAGCTGCTGCAGTGAAACAGCTGCTGCAGTGAAACACCTGCTGCAGTGAAACACCTGCTGCAGTGAAACAGCTGCTGCAGTGAAACACCTGCTGCAGTGAAACAGGCTGCTGCAGTAAAACAGCTGCTGCAGTGAAACAGCTGCTGCAGTGAAACACCTGCTGCAGTGAAACAGCTGCTGCAGTGAAACAGCTGCTGCAGTGAAACAGGCTGCTGCAGTGAAACACCTGCTGCAGTCAAACACCTGCTGCAGTGAAATGCTGCAGTCAAACACCTGCTGCAGTAAAACAGGCTGCTGCAGTAAAACAGGCTGCTGCAGTGAAACACCTGCTGCAGTGAAACAGGCTGCTGCAGTGAAACACCTGCTGCAGTGAAACAGGCTGCTGCAGTAAAACAGGCTGCTGCAGTGAAACAGCTGCTGCAGTGAAACAGGCTGCTGCAGTGAAACCTGCTGCAGTGAAACAGCTGCTGCAGTGAAACAGGCTGCTGCAGTGAAACACCTGCTGCAGTCAAACACCTGCTGCAGTGAAACAGGCTGCTGCAGTGAAACAGGCTGCTGCAGTGAAATGCTGCAGTCAAACACCTGCTGCAGTGAAACAGGCTGCTGCAGTAAAACAGGCTGCTGCAGTAAAACAGGCTGCTGCAGTAAAACAGGCTGCTGCAGTGAAACAGGCTGCTGCAGTGAAACAGGCTGCTGCAGTGAAACACCTGCTGCAGTGAAACAGGCTGCTGCAGTAAAACAGGCTGCTGCAGTAAAACAGGCTGCTGCAGTGAAACAGCTGCTGCAGTAAAACAGGCTGCTGCAGTGAAACAGCTGCTGCAGTGAAACAGCTGCTGCAGTGAAACAGCTGCTGCAGTGAAACAGGCTGCTGCAGTGAAATGCTGCAGTCAAACACCTGCTGCAGTGAAACAGGCTGCTGCAGTAAAACAGGCTGCTGCAGTAAAACAGCTGCTGCAGTGAAACAGCTGAAAACCAGAAATCAGGATGAAATCTTGGAGAAGTGATGAACTCTGACCTGACCACATAAAGACGTTACAAAGTCTGAGTGTGAAGCTCAGGGGGTTTACGTTTTTTGTCAGTTTTCTTCATGTTGTTTATGTCGTGAGACGCCAAGTGAAGCAGCCTGAATAAAAACCCGCAGGAACCTGAACGCAGCGCTGACCCCAGCATGTCAAAGTACTGTTACCTGGCAACAGCCTGGCTACCATTTTCCAGTCTTTCACCTCCAAACAAAGATCAACTCCGGAATTAGTCAGAGCGACTCACCACATAAACGACGTTGAGCGCAGAAAGCGCGTTCTTGGTGCAAATGAATCCTCCGCAAACCATCGCTGCTCTGCGCCACCGTCCGGATCAGAGCCAAGAGATGTCTCAGGTGAAGCAGCAGTTGTCTCAGGTGAAGCAGCTGGTTGTCTCAGGTGAAGCAGCAGGTTGTAGTCTCAGGTGAAGCAGCAGGTTGTTGTCTCAGGTGAAGCAGCTGGTTGTCTCAGGTGAAGCAGCTGGTTGTCTCAGGTGAAGCAGCAGGTTGTTGTCTCAGGTGAAGCAGCTGGTTGTCTCAGGTGAAGCAGCAGCTGTTTGTTTCACTTCGGGCTGAGCTGGAAACGACTGGACTGTGTTTCCTGGAGTCGATCCTGAGCGCTGATTGGTCAGCTGGACTTTGCGCATGACTCACCTTTTGTCCCCGCTGCAGGTAATAACAGCGTCAGATGAACTCTGGTCACCGCGTCATCCAGCTTGAAGTCACTAAAGTATGGATTTGTTGAGAGGAGATCGATTGTTTGGACCTGGTGACGTCATCAGCAGAAGGATTTCCGTGTTTTACAGTCTTGTGATAAAAAGTAGATCAGTCACATCAAAGATCAGGTAAAACTCACAGATATCCAGAAGATCTCTTTAGACAGTGAAAAGATCAGTCAAAGTATAAAAATATACAATAAGCTCTCAATAAAACAATTTCAGGGAATATTTTAAAAAGCAGTTTATTGGTGCGACACAAACAAGCAGCTTTCAGCAAAAACATTAAACAAACATATATTTATTATATGTATTTACTTAGGTAAATAAGTTTGAAAATAAAAATAAAAGAAAGCTGATAATATGGGAAACAAAATGACTCATGAAAGAAAAAGAAAATATAAAACAAACTAAATCAAAAATTGATGAATCTCCCTTAAAAAAAGTAAAAAAGTGAAAGATTACCAGATATTAAATTTATTTAGGCCTAAAGCTGTTGAAGACAATCCAGGGGAAATGCATCGCGAAATCCTACATTAAATCAAACAAGTAAAAGTTTATAAAAATGACACAAAAGCAGCTAAACAGTTATTTTACATATCCAGGTGAATTTGATGGATTTTTGGCAGACAAAGTTTCTTCTCCCTAAAAACTGCTCAGCAGAAACAGAAGAGTGTGTGTGGCTCCCTCTGGTGGCCACGTTGGCTGCCTGTCTCAAACTGACACAATTACAACTGGTCAAACTAAATTCATCTTTAAAACTAGAAACCTCAAAACTAATACAACAATCAGAAGTCATTTAACGTCAGATTTACAATCGTTTCCACTTTAGTACAAAATAGCAAGAGCTTCAAAATGTGACAGATTTATGGAAGAAAATCTGTAAACATTACAAACTAAGACATTCAGATCACATATTTATTACATCTTTGTGGTTGGGTGAAAAACAATATTCACATGTAAGTAAGTTGCTGTTCACTCACCTCTTTGCCTCCTGCTATGTGAAGACTAAAAATAAGAGAACACATTTTTTAAATTATATTATTATGATTTGGCATAAAACGTTTGGTTTTGGTAAAGCCTATATTTAGAGTGGCTTCAGTTATCATGTGCCACCGCGATTGTTAAATATAAAAAGAAAAGAGCAGAGAGCAATATGATCACATTTAGGAGAGAAATAAACACCAGAATTAGAGTACAATATATCAGTGAGATTCTTTCATACATCCTGTTTAAAAACTGTTTGATTACCTGGAAAAGTGTAACTAATTTATTTCACACATTGCCATATGGAAAAACTTGTGGTAACTGCTGCTGATGTATGGCTGTGCAATTGCTCTGTAAAACTTAATAAACTTTAAGTTCTAAAAAAAGAGAACAAAACTCAGTCTCTGAAGAAAAGATTTGATGACACAGTTGCGTTCCTGTAAGAGAGCAGTGTCAGCTAAACGCTCACTCCAGATGCTCAGATGAATTTGTATGGCTCCATTTTGTCTTCTGCTCTGTGGCTTTTTGGTGGCATATGCAGAGCTGCTCCTGAAGAATAGGAATCCCCTGAATCCAGAACCTTTGAGACAGAAACATCAGAACGTTTAGAAATAAAAATCGTACCGCAGCTTATTGACATCAAACTGAAAACTGTCAGCATGTGTCATTGTCTCTGTATGAATGAAGACACGTTTGAAAAGGAGTCAGACTTGCAGTAAATGAAAGTCGTTTTACAAACTTGGAAGATTGGATTTTACAGATCACATTCTTTGAAAGGACTTTCTTGGCTCTAGTGATCTTTATTTGACTTCGAGTCCGCAGGAAAGAGGGAAAGGTCAACAGGTCGGGACTCAAACCTGTGATAGCTGTGTAGACTGAGGCGTCGGTTCGCGGGTTGAGCACTTCACTCCTGCGCCACCACCGCACCCTAAATATCTGTCATCTTACAGTTGAATCTGAAATTACTCAACCCCATAAATGAAACAAACTACAAAAGTAAAACATTTAAATAAACCAAAATATTTTATTTAAATTCAACATAAAGTCCTACCTCCATTGATAAAGTCTGAAAATTATTCTTCCATCTGAACAGACGTCTTCTTTTTGCATGTGTTTGCAATCAGGGGTTTAATCTTGGTCACCCCAGACTTAACCAGTCCTGTTGGGATTGGTGTAGGCCACCACGGTTCGGTTTTAGAAGAAGTCCTGGAGTCGTTGTCACTCAGTATATTTAACTCTTCTACAAGCTTGTGGAAAATATATTTACATTTTTACTTAAAGCGACCCAGAATTAGTTGAACATGTTGGCCTTCATATGTTGTAATTTTTCTATTAACTGAATAATTACTGTTTGTGATATGCCAAAGCTGATAACAACTTCAAAATATATATTTTCCACCCATGCAGGCCATGTTTTCACCCAATGGGTTGATGATGCATTTTGGTCAGTTCTGTACTGAAATCCACAGTACAGAATGTAAACACAGGAAGGCTAACTTTCCCTGAGTCGTTGTTTATCATATTGTATTTGACTGGTGTAATTTTACATAATGCCACACTGTGTCACTATCAGTTATAATTTAAAAAGTGAATCTGGATAAATTCCCACATGAAAAAAAAGAAGAGCGCTGAGGGAGAGAGCTGGACCTGAACACAACTTCTGAAGTTTGTGCTCAACATTTCTCTCCAGAAGACTTTGAGTCATTTGTAAGAGCAAAACTAACAAAGGCTCTAACAGGTGATCCTTACCTTCGCAAGCTAAGAATAAATGCTGTGCTTAGATATGTGGAGCTGGAAGCTCTGAAATGCTAACAGAGCTGAATATAAAACCACCAATCTGACCATGAGAAGCCAAACTAAAACAACTGTTACTGGTCTGGACACAGAACTACTTTCCATAACACACAGTCTGACCAGAGGTCAGAGGTATGTGTCATTCATTGTTTATGAAGCTAAAGGCAGCAGCAAAACACCAGCAGCTCCTCTAACCTCCACCGTCCTCTTCCTGTGTTTGGTTCTCCTCATCCTCTTTACATCTTGTGATTTCTATATTCCCACTGACTTCAACACGCTCAATGACATCATTCATCAGTGTTTGGCTGGACAGAGCTAGCACATTTGGACATCATTTACCCAGAATACATAGCAGCATTTACAATATGGTGACGTCCCTGTGACAATATTTTATTAAAATTTATCAGGGGGAGGAGCGTTGCCACACTTGATTGTGACTGACAGCGATAAGACCCGCCTCCAGCTTCTGATTGGTCGTTTCTAGTTGGCACTCAGAGCATTGGGAGAAGGCAGAGGAGATCAATTTTTTATGTATTATCTACCTGATGCCATACTGATAGGACATGGCAATAGCTTCAACAAATATGTAAAAAGATATTTTCTAGAAAAGTTACAAAGTGCAGCTTCAAATATACATATTTTTAGATAATAGTTCTTACTCAAGAACGATCCTACGTCCTTCAACCCAGGACCAATTGCATTGAAAATGATGTAACCCTATCCAGTATCCATGCTTATCAGAATCCTATTGTTTGGTGTGATTGTTGATAAATTCCTGCGAACAGATTTTATTTTAGATTGTTATAAATCTGTTTTACTTCAAGCTATTAGTCAATCAAGTTTAATCGTATAACACATTTCAGCAGTTTAGGCGCGTTTAGAGCCCCTAACAAGTGCAATACGAACCATTTGGAGCGCTTTGAGTGTTTGACACGTCAAGTGCGTTCGATGCTCCACATAGACTTTAAATGTAAACCAGATGCGCCTGACGCTCAAAACGTGCTTAGTGTAAACACACCAAGAGAGGGGTCCTAGGATTGAACCTTGGGGTACCCCACATAATTTCTATCCATTTTGTTGAGACATTACCTATTGAGACAAAGATATCTCGCATGTCTCCACGGAGACTTGTTCCTACCAGACACAACCTTCACTTTAGTGGTTGCAATAAAATCAATGACTTCTGAAATTTGAGAAAGTTTATCTACAAACTAATGTACATGGTTACAACATAAAGGTGAGATGGACAATTATAACTGACTAAATGTTTCTGCTGTCTGTGAAAGAATGTTTTGTGAGAGTGGCTGCTATAACTAAGTGAGTCAATGGAGAAAGTATTTTAAAAGATAACAGTGAAATGATCAGACAGGATGACATCAGTTACAGAGATACTGGAAATATTCCCACCCTTACTGATAATCACGTCCAGTGTGTGTCCTAGATTGTGTGTTGAATGTTTAAAATGCTGAATTAGACCAAAAATAATCAACAATATCAGTTTTTTTTTGCCTCTCTGTCTTTGGGCATGTCATCATAGATGTTAAAATTCCCCCAAATTATTAAACAGTCATAATTGGTGGATATAAGAGATAAAAGCTCATTAAAGTCAATAAAGACGTTTTCAACATGTTGAGGTTTTGTGCAGTTAGAACCAGAGTTAGTTTATGGCCTTTTGTAAATGCCAAATACTGAAAAGATTTAAGAACTCCTTATGGATTGAAGTAACACTTATTTCTCTTTTGTGTTTTCTATTCTCACTTCAACAAAATTAGAGTTAGGGACGCTGATTGAATAAGTACATGTTGGTCAGTATTTTGAATGATCAATTTCAGAAACTTCCAGGCCTTAAGCTTAAACTTCAAGAGT